CTGCCCCATAACTTACATGGGGTTGACCAAACTTGCAGAAACATGTTTATTTCTGCTAAAAAACACGTTTTGACACTTTCTGCACACTGGGGTTAAGAGCTGAGGCAGTGGGCTCTTCTGAGCCTAGCAGGTACATAGAGATTCCAAAGGTTGAAAAACATGTTTTTTTCGGCTGAGAAACACGTTTTGAAAAGTGTGCTTTTGCTTCCCCATAAGTTACTTGGGGGTGACCAAAGTTGCAGAAACATGTTTATTTCTGCTGAAAAACACGTTTTGACACTTTATGCACATGGACACACATGGCTTACTGCACAAAGACAGCTTCCACCCAAAACATACTTTCAAAGGACTGGTAAAATCACAACTCCTACACTTCCACAAAATCTGCACACCACAACAAGACTTTGAGGAATCCAAACACACACTCTTCCAAGCTTTACGCCCGAGAGGATACACACGAAGTTTCCTCAGAAATGTGGCACAAGCATTTCTAAACAGAAAAACACCTGATGACAGCAAAATAATACCCCTCATCTCAACATACTCCCAACTCAGCATAATACCCAACCAAAAACTAAAGTCTGCATTCACCACGATATAAGAAAACACAAACCTACTAATGGGAACACAAAATCATATCTGCTTATAGAAGAAACAAAAACCTACAGGATTATTTAGTCCAAAGCAAACTAAAACCTGTACAAAACAGATCAAATACACCAAAAGCCAAACACTTCAAACAGAAAACAACGATCCAAAGAAAAAACCAAAGAAATCTTCCAGTTGCAAAGGGCGCTCTCAGAAAACACCAATAACTCTTTCTATGGCATCCAGTGCAAAACGTGCAGAGTGACCTATGTGGGGGAAACAGGTTACTCCATCCGAACCCGACTGGCACAACAGAGGTACAACATTCGGAACCAGCGGGAAAGGAAGACTCATCTGGGTGCACACTTCCTACAGCACAGGCTGGAAGCGTTGGAGGCCACAGGACTGGAGAGCAACCCCAACTGGACAGAGATGGAAAGAAAGAAAAAGGAAACGTAGTGGATCAAAAGAATTTATACTACCTTTCCACAAGGCCTGAACATCAGAAAATAAACTTTGAGTGTTTCAGTCCTTGAAAGGAGAGTGCAACATTCCTTGTCCCAGATGGTCCCTTCTTAGAGAAAATCTGGGAGAAAGAGATTTGTTCCCCTATCCTAACCCTAACCCTAACCCTATCTATTGATATGTGTATGACTGTTTCACCACTTCTCATATAACCATGTTAGTGGCATGATGGTTTAAGTGCTTGACTTATAAGTGAGAGGTTGGCTGTTCAAATCCAGCTAGCACCATGAATTTTCTTTTAACAAACATTTCTTTGAAAAACTAAAATAGAAATATTATGGACAATTAATTGACATTTTTATATTTCTAAGTATGAAAACATGTTCGAATCTAAGTCATTTTTTAATAACAATGAATAGTCACCATCTTTCCCTCTGATTCGCTCCAGTAGCAGGAACCTGTATCGTTGGATCCCTTTAGATCCCCCTTCAGATTTAAAAGGTTATTAATAATATCTTTGGTGTTGCATCTTCCCAGTTTAGCTGATCTTTTGCTTCCTACGCATGCTTACACAGCTCCCTGGGTATACTATCATATTTGACTGAAAAAGCTTTAGAGAACTTAACATTTTTATTATCAACA